TGCAGCTTTCGTACGGTTTTAGGTTGCATAGTGATCTGATTGCTTTTTTTGAAGGGTGAAGACACGAACTGAGTCCGATGCCATACCCCAGAACTGTATTCCATAACTTGCAACACTTTGGAAATTTGGAAAATAAGCTATCTTTGCTGCTTCGTGAGTTGCGACCATTTTCATTCTCCTGATAGTATATATTGCACTGGCTAATTTGGAAGCTAAATCCGATATATGTGACTGCCAGGTAAGTTTGTTATCTATATTCATCCCTAAGTACTTGATATTACACATCGTTGGATCATTTTTTGGCGCAAATTTTAAATACTGTGTTTTCTCGGTATTGATTTTTAATTTGTTGTTACGGAACCATATTTCTGCTCTTTCCAAGTTTTTATCGCTGCACCTTTTCATTTCTTGCTCCGTTTTTGATGTTGCTATAAATGACGTATCATCGGCATGCACACATGTTACCTCTGACGTTAGATTGAAAGGCAAATCATTTATATATATGAATGAATAAGTCTAATAAGACGGTTAAACGTAATTTTAGAAGTTATTTCAAGTTCACATAAAGTGGATATAAAAAAAGTTTGCTCTATATGGGTATGAGACTGCGGAGATGAAACTACATATGATCCATATCGATGACTCCTACTATGCACAAAATCCTAATCCATGCGGCAATTGTTATAGAAAATGTTCTTTTGCCGTAAGGGTTGTTATCAGAGGAAGCAGCAGAGGCACGTAAGAAACATATTCGAATGTACCGGCTGAATTACACAAGAAAACTTTCTAGAGAACAATGCAATATAGACGTAATGAATAGATTATTGCTCAAATCAGATCCATTAAATCTATGCCACATAGTAAACAAAAAATCTCTCGTTCGGCGTTATTTTGAGGAGGAAGGAACGGTGGAAAATGTATTTTGTGTGGTGTAAAAATAAATAGAGTAGCAAAAACGTTACAAACTTATGGAACCTTAAGTCATGCTCAAGATAATACGTCTGTAGAATCATCTCCACGTACCTCCGTATCCACCCGGATGTCAAGTCAATCTTAATTATTATTATTATTGCTGTTCAGCTGAGGGGAGCGGCCCCTCTCGTTACCGCGACCTATAAGACCTATCCGATACCAGCCAAAGTTTAGGGCAACTGTAGGTCCTTGATGAACCTTAGTATTGCCCTGAGGTCTTGAACCTTTATGTAGGTAGGTGTCAAGAGAGCTTTACCGAAAATGTTATGTCTTAGGCGGCCTCTGGCGACGCAGTTGCACAGTATATTGAACTAAAATTAGAACTAAAACTAGAACTAATACTAGAAACTTTCGGGTTTTGCCGTGCGTCCAGCTTGCCCGCCTTCTCATTGCCCTCAATGTTGCTGTGACCTGGAACCCACCATAGGGTAACATCATTGCCCCTAGCGAGTTCTCTCAGGTTGCTGGTACACTCTCTGATCAGTGCGGAGTCACACGTGTAGGCCTGAATTGCCTTTAAGGTGGCCCGACTGTCTGTGAAAATGTTTATGAATGCACCTTTTTGTCCCTTCTGTAGGTTCAAAGCGGTGTAGAAGTTTATAGCAAGAACTTCTGCTTGAAAAATGAGCATACCTACTCAGGATCTAACTGTCTTTGAAGCATCTTTGTACCAGGCTAGGGCTCCTCTTTTTAGTTGAGGCTTGAGGCCTACCCTCCGTTTTAATTTCAATCAGGTGATTTAGACATGGGTCCTTGAGGATTTCGAGGTGTCCTCTGAGGTTACCCTGCATCAACTTGAGTGAGGAAACTGTTTTCAGTGATAATGCACTTGAAGCTGCATCCTTTTGTATACAGGGTCCTTCAGCTCAGCTCCCGTCTTCTGTAGCTCAGTTATTAATTAAGTTAGGAGTTTAATATTTTGCAGGCTTATACTGTGTCTCAGACCGCATTTCAGGAAATTATTATTGATTATACCGAGTGTNTGAAGCTGCCTCCTTTTGTATACAGGGTCCTTCAGCTCAGCTCCCGTCTTCTGTAGCTCAGTTATTAATTAAGTTAGGAGTTTAATATTTTGCAGGCTTATACTGTGTCAAAGACCGCATTTCAGGAAATTATTATTGATTATACAGAGTGTCTCAAAAAAGTGTGACGCCACGATGATATATTTTTTTAAATGGCACGATATATCTTTTCTCACATTTTTGGGTATCTTTTATGGGTGCCTACATTGTTCCAAAATTTTATTGAAATCGGCTGAATGGCAGCACAAAAAAATAAAAACGAAAAAAAAATCGTATTTGCGTCGCTGGTTTTAAAAATTAATCATAATTAAAACAACGCCTCATTAATAAAGTTTCATGTCACACTTATTAAGTAAGGTCTAGTGGATTCGTTAACCAAGTTCCATTGATTCAAAATTATACAGGCTGGCCAAAATCTAGTGTCAAAACTTTCAAACTTTAAAGCTTATTTTAAATTGGACCTCTTACATACTTTTATGTAAATCGATGCAGAATTAAAAAACAAAAATATTTTGTAATAACAACCCCATCACAATTCCTAACATTTAAAATGTTATACGCCCAAAACTCGTATTTCATCTATTCCAATAAAATTTTGGAACTATGTAGGCACCCATAAAAGACACCCAAAAATGTGAGAAAAGATATATCGTGCCATTTAAAAAAATATATCATCATGGCGTCACACTTTTTTGGGACACTCTGTATAATCAATAATAATTTCCTGAAATGCGGCCTGAGATACAGTATAAGCCTGCAAAATATTAAACTCCTAACTTAATTAATAACTGAGCTACAGAAGACGGAAGCTGAGCTGAAGCAGGGTACTTCAGCTCAGCTATATAAATGGAGTGGTGTGGAACCGAGTAGGGCTTCCAAAGCAGCCGTCGAACAAGATCTCATTGCACCCGTTATATTAAGACATGCTAATCGCTGGATTTGTGCCAGCTGTTGTTGTGCTATCTTATGTTTTGCTTTTGGCTACCAAACCAATGAGGCGTAGGCGACCATGGGTCTGATTATTGCTACGTAGGTCCAATGAGCCATTCGTGGTTTGAGACCCCAGTTCCTTCCTAGGAGCCTGCGGCAGATTTGATTTGCCATGAGGTTTGCCTTTTTCCTTACCTTGTCTAAGTGTAAGTTCCAGTTTAGTATTACCCCTAGGTATTTAACTTCTGTTTTGAGGTTAATAGTTCTGCTTTGTAGCTTCTTTCTTCGAGTGAAATTGACTATTTCGATTTTATTTGGATTGATGCTAAGCCCATTGCTTCTACACCAAGTACTGGTGTGTAGTAGAACTTTCTGCATTAGTTGAGTTATGATTGTATCATATTTACCTCTGATTGCCAATACCAGGTCATCAACATACCCCTGAATCTTGAATCCATTTTTTGTTAGGGTCTTCAGCAAGTCATCAACTACCAGGCACCATAGCAGAGGTGATAGCACGCCGCCTTGGGGGTACCTCCCAAAGCTATTCCAAGACTCGCCTCCCAGACTCGCTATGATCTGTCGACTTTTCAAGTCAGCCTTTGGTGCCACCGTCCCTGCAGCCAGTATTCGAAAAAAAGCTCTGGAACACTAACGACCCTCGTGCAAAAAGGTACACTATTCCTGGTAGGACGTACTTCACTGAGAAAATCATTCCAGACTTGTATGAGAGAGTGGTTAGTAAACTAAAGAGCGAATTAGAAACGGCTAAAAATATGTATAGCATTTACTACCGATCTTTGGACTTGTTCACTAAATAATGCCGCATTTCTGAGTTGCACTGGATGTCAGAAAACTTGAAATTGAATCATGTTCGAAACATCGTGCATTCTCCTGCATCACACACATCAGAAAATATCAAAAGAGAACTGTTAGAATGTGTAACGAGATGGGAAATACCATTTAAAGGCGTTAAAGGAGTAAGGGAAACTCTACTTCCTTCAGGGCGTTGCTTCATACATAGTCTCCAGCTGGTGATAAATGATGCATTAATTTCCCAATAACAAAAATTCTGAATAGTGCACATATACTTAGAAAACTTGAAAGTATTCAATGTAAACTTGGACTGCCTAAACATAAACTGATTCAAGATATTCAAACTCGCTGGAACTCAACATATTACCTACTGGAGCGTCTACTTGAACAAAAAAGGGTTATTTCAGAGTATATCTCAGAAACAAGTAGTGTAAATTTTGGAAATTTGACCAGCTGTTAAGGCGCTCTTCAAAGAGATAACAAAAATAACTAGTTCCACATATGCACCTATATCAGATGTGATACCTAGAATAGTTTCATTAACCAGATACCTAATGAAAGATGCGCTCATTCAACAAACTGAGCGAACTATGCAAGCCCGTTCTAACTTGGAGGAAGTGTGCTTTAACAAGACGTATTACTTGTCAACATTTTTAGATCCCTGCTACAAGAACTTTTTCTTTGACGCTGCCCAAGATGAACGGATCCGTAGAGTTGCGCTAAAAGAAGATCTTAGATTTAGGCTTTCTTTAGACGACGAAAATGATGATTTGGATCCAAAAATGGCGTCCAAAGGACCTCGTTTATACAATGAAATCGATTCAGGAACTCATAAACTCTTTTGGGCAACCCAAGAATGCCACTGCTGAATAAATCTTTGATGTATGAAGAAAAGCGCAACCGAGTTGGGATTAATTGCAGAAAAACTAGTCTTTTTGCACCACAATCTGCACCTTTTGGGCTATAAATATTAATTACAAAGCCTAACTAATTAACTTCATAATATCGAGTAATGCCTAATAATAGCAAGTATTCTCTAGTGTATGCTAGATAAGACTACTAAAGCCTCCATAAAGATTAGATAACCCTTACAAAGACCCAGTTGCAGACTTTTTTTGATGATTATTATGGAACAAAACTTAATGCGATGTGAATTATCACTAATTTGAATTTAATTTTTTTATATATTATTTTTATGAAGTAAATTTAAAGAAATATTTCTAAGAATATATAATAAATGATTAAAAGCTATTTACTAACCTGATAAGAAAAATTTTCTTGATAAAAAGCATAGCTTCCATTAATAATTCGAAGATCTTGACTAATATTTGTATTTGCACCGAAAATATTATGAACTTGTAGTATTACCACCATAGTGGAAATTTGATTTAAAATATTTGAAGGAAAAACAGGTGGATAAACCATGATTTCTTGATAAAATCATAGATAGAAATGAAACATACTCAACATGCTTATCAAATTTATCAAAGAACAAATAATAACTAATTAAATTTGCTAAAATGAAACAATTATTCTGAGAAATTTCACCTTGGCCGTATCTTTTATCGTAGAACAAATAAATGTATCATACAAGTTCATTAATAACAATTTCTTTATTCTCTTATTTTTAACTTATTTACATTTATTAGATAGTAAATAATTTAAAGTATTCAAATTAATTAAAGGCAATTTCTTAATAATTCATAAAAAACGATACAAATACTTTTAGTTTATAGATTAATTAATTTCGAAATAAAAAAACAAATTGCAAGAACAAATGTTGAATTTTTTAATAAATTTGAAGTTGATCTGGCTTTTTGTTCATCAACCCAAGTTCTATATTGAGCGATATCTGTGTAAACTCCGGGTAATCCTTCGTTAATGCAACGATGTCCCCAAGAAACAATTCCAGATAATTTATTGTTGCAAACTAATGGACCGCCAGCATCACCCTAAATAAAATAATTAATTAAAAAGATTAATTCTTTTTAATAAATAAGTTATTTAACCTGGCAAGTATCTTTTCCTTTATCGAAAAATCCAGCACAAAACATTCCGTTGTGAATACCACCGCTGTATTTTTCGGTACAAGTTCGATTTTCAATGATTGGGATTGAAGCGTATCTTAAATTTTCATTTGGTCTTAATGGCTATAAAAAATTAAAATGATAAATTAAAGAAATTATTTAATAAAAAAAATTTTTACGTTTGATGCAGCACCCCACCCAGATACGATACAAGATGAATAAGCTTCAGGAGATGTTTCAGCTAATTCAATCGCTTTAATATCTTGTGTCCACGCCTCAAACGGTTCAGAAACCTAAAAAATTATAAAACTCGTAATAAATTCATTTACAGTAAAACCTCGATACAATCGATCTTGTTAAAACGGACTAACTAGTGTTAATTCTAATTTTGCGTTAATTGTAACTAGAATTAACTCTAGATCTAGAAGTAGAATCATTCGGGTTTAGCCGTCTTAAGACACGTGCGGCTAACCCCGAATGATTTTAGTTCTAGGTCTTGTGTTAGTTCTAGTTTTGCACTAGTATTGTTATTAGAAGTAATACAAGACCTAGAACTAAAATCATTCGGGTTTAGCCGTACGTTTCTTAAGATGGCTAAATCCAAATGATTCTACTTCTAGGTCTAGTGTTACTTCTAGTGATAGTGCAAAACTAGAACTAACACAAGACCTAGAACTAGAATCGTTCGGGTTTAGCTGTCTTGAGAGACGTAAGGCTAAACCCGAACGATTCTAGTTCTAGGTCTTGTGTTAGTTCTAGTTTTGCACTATCACTAGAAGTAACACTAGACCTAGAAGTAGAATCATTCGGGTTTAGCCGCACGTCTCTCAAGACAGCTAAACCCGAATGATCTAGTTCTAGGACTTGTGTTAGTTCTAGTTTTGCACTAGTATTGTTACTAGAAGTAATACAAGACCTAGAACTAAAATCATTCGGGTTTAGCCGTACGTTTCTTAAGACGGTTAAATCAAAATGATTTTACTTCTAGGTCTAGTGTTACTTCTAGTGATTGTGCAAAACTAGTATTAACACTAGAGCTATAACTAGAATCATTCGGGTTTAACCGCACGTCTCTCAAGACGGCTAAATCCGAATGATTCTAGTTCTAGATTTTATTGACAGTGCTAGTGCAAAACTAGAACTAACACTAGGCTTAGAATTAGAATTATTCGGGTTTAGCCGTCTTAAGAGACCTGCGGCTAAACTCGAATGATTCTAGTTCTAGGTCTAGTGTTAATTCTAGTTTTGCACTAGTATTGTTACTAAAACTAATACAAGACCTAGAACTAAAATCATTCGGGTTTAGCCGCACGTCTGTCATGACGGCTAAATTCGAATGATTCTAGTTCTAGTGTTAGTTCTAGTTTTGCACTAGCACTGTCACTAGAACTAATAGTAGACTTAGAAGTAGAATCATAAAATTCAAGCAGTAGATGTTCTTACTCCTACCAAGTTAATTGCAGTAGTAACAGCAGCCTGTGATAAAATTTATGGTAAAAGAAAAATAAAATGCTACAAAAGAAGACAATTGTATTGGTGGACGGATAAGAGTTAAAGCAAATGGAAACAGGCGCATACTTAGAAGAATTAATTCACAAAATGGAAATGTAAGGGAAAAGGAAGTAGTAAAAGCGGAATTGAAAGTACGCGCAGAGAATACAAAAATGAAATAAGAAGAGCAAAAAAGGATGCCTGGAGGAAACTCTGTAATGAGCTAGAGCAGTGGTTCCCAAAGTGGTTCCTACGGACCCCTTGGGGTCCCTGTAAGTTCTCCGATGGTCCGTAGCAAAATAAAATTAATTCGGGGGTCCATAGGTTGCGTTGGGGGGTCCACAAAAAGTAGGAACAGTAGTCAGTTGTTGTAGTATACTATATGTAAGTCTGTGAAGTGTATTAACAACTAAATTTGTAAGATACTATAGCGTATGTTTGGAAACTGATACAAAAGATGAAACTATATTTAAGGAATTAAAAATTTTTTGAAGCAAAAGCTATTCCTTTGTGTAATATCATCTGCGTTACTACTAATGGTCCTCCGGCAATGGTAGGACGCCATCGAGGTTTTCTGGCATATTTAAAACAAGCAGAGCGAATGTATTAACAGTACATTGTGTCATTCAACGACAACATTTAGTAGCAAAAAATCTTACATCGCTCACTGAATTATATGATTAGAGCAGTTAATAAAATCAAAAAGAATGCGAGATTATTTGCTCAACTTTGCCTGGAGAATGATGAAGGTTACAATCGTTTGCTACTGAACACAGAAGTACGTTGGTTGTCTAGAAGTGCATGTTTGAATAGATTTTACTCACTTTTTGATTACGTTTTAGAATTCTTTGAAACTGAAGGCAATGATCTGCGACTTAATTTATTTCATTCAAGAAATGATATGTTTGCCAAATTTAACGAAATCAATTTGAAGCTGCAAGGCGATCAGTTGAATTTAATAAAAACAAAAAGTGTAATATCTACATTCGTAAAAAAACTTTTTTTCTATAAAGAAAAGTTGGGAAGAGGAGAATTCTCTTACTTTCCAAAACTTTTTTAGCTACAAAATCGTGATGTTGATTTGCTTGTATATTGTCAGCACTTCACTTAGATTTCAAAAAAAGATTTGAAGACAACAAATCAACCAGCTCTGTGTTTATTCATTAGCAACTTATCGAGCTAAGTACAAACGAAGAATTAAAACCAATGTTTGTTGACGGATATGAAAAATGTTGGTTACAAAAACAGATACCAACTTTATACCCTGAAGTATAGGACACTGCGGAAAAGTTTTTAATAGCTTTTTCGTCTTCATAGTTAATGGAACGTAGATTTAGTGCGGTTGTGAACCTGATTACGAAAAAAAGAAACCGACTTGATGTTAGTGCACGTGGTGACTTGCGGTTATTGTTTACAAATATAGAGCCAAACATAAACAATTTGATCACAACTCATCAGGCTCACCCATCACATTAAAAAATGTTTTGTTTAAAACAGGAACATGTTTTTTAATGTTGGTTTAAATATCAAAATATTTTTATATGTATTTATTTTACGTCACAAGTCAGTGACAAGTCATTAATTTTCTAGCCAGTTCACTTTTTACGACCACTGCATTCCGGTAAAAACAGTTTTAGTAGCACGGCACTGACTAGGGGGTCTACAATCACGTTTTGGCTCAAGAAGAGGTGCGTAGCCATAATAAGTTTGGGAACCACTGAGCTAGAGGAAGATGTATGGGGAGATGCCTACAAAATAGTTTTTAAAAGAAAAAAAACGCCGAGAGTCACGCTCAATGATGATGAATTATAAAATGTTATAAAAGAACTTTTCCCAGTGGGAAATAGAGTTGTGTGGAGCAGACAAAGGTGGAATGAGAGCATTAGAAAGGTGACCGAACAGGAATTATTAGGTCTGGTTAAACATCTTAAGAATAAAAAGTCTCTGGCCCGGACCAAATTATGCCAGAAATAGTCAAAGATACCATATATGTAATTTCAAAGGAAGTCACTGAAATGTTTAATGTTCTGTTAGAGCAAGGAATTTTTCCTGATATATGGAAAACAGGGAGGTTAGTATTAATTGAAAAACCAAAAAAACAAGGAAATACAGCCTACAGACAGATCCCATTGTTTATTAGATTGTTTTGGAAAATTATATGAAGTTATCTTGAAAGAAAAGATAGTAGAGGAACTGATATAAAAACAAGGAATATCTGATAATCAATATGGCTTTACAAAAGGAAAATCGCCAGTGCATGCGATTGCAGCAGTTTTGAATGCAGCCAGAAATACAGATAAATTCAGGAGGGGGAAAAGGAAATTAAGCTGTTTAATAACATTTGATGTGAAAAAGTAGAGGTTCTGCCCCATAGGAACAGATAGTTAGATGTATGGAAGAAAAAGAAATATCTGTAAAGTTAATTAACTGTATTAAAGACTACCTTAGGGAAATATATGTTGTTTGTAGTAATGTCAGTTTCCCAATGACAAGATGGCTTCTGTTTTGGGTCCACTACTTTGGAATATTTTTTTTGATCAAATTTTGAATGATATGCAAATTGAAGACGTTGAGTTAGTGGCATATGCAGATGACTTGGCCATTGTACTTTCATCATTACTAACATTGCACATCGCGTTATTAAAGTAATTGTAGATAAATTAGAGTTTATGGGTTTAAAGCTGCCCCAGAAAAAACGGAATGTGTGTTAATGAAAAGTAGGAAAAATAGATTAATGTGGCAGGACATATTGTAAATTCTAATAGCTCACTCAAATACCTTGGTGTAATGATTGGTAAAGACCTGAGGGGCCTCATGTCGAATATATATACACCAAGGCGCAGAAAACCAGTAAATGCATTGCACAGAATAATGGGTTCGACCTATGGGCCAAGTACGGAGGAAAAGAAATTGATAGGCTTGGTAGTCTTTTGAGATTAAAAAATACAAACAAAAGATAACGAGAATACAGAGACAGATCCTGATAAGAATTGTCTCTACGGAAGTATTATTGGTGATTGCAAAAAATTTCCAATTGAGTTGATGGCAAGAAGGCAAATGTTCACATGGACAACAAAAAAGGATCTTGACACCATGGAGGAGGAAATAATGCAGGAATGGACCAAGATGGGCCAAGAACACCGGAAAACCACAATGGACGAAAAGAATAATTCCGAAAATTAAAAGATGGGTTATTCGGCAATGGGGAGAAATAAATTATTATATGTGTCAATTCTTGTGTGGTCATGGCTGCTTTAAAGCCTACATCCATAAACACAAGAGAAGAGAGGAAGAAATGTGCGATTACTGCGAAGACAAAGTAGATGACGCGGAGCACACGTTTTTTGCTTGCGAAAGATGGAAAGAAACACGTGAGGAAACGTGGGAAACACTGAATACTAAGCTGAAGCCGGAAAACTGCAAGAAAGTCATGTTAGAGAATGAAGAAAAATGGAAGATTGTGGAAGAGTTTGTAAGGGAGGTCGTTGTGACAAAGGAAAGAGAGGAGAAGGTACAATGGTCCGATGACATCCCAGGTCAGATGTCTGTATAGCAGATTTTCCCCGACCTCGTTTAAACCCTTGACCTCATTTCGCCTGAAGACGCACGACTGAACCCAAAGCATTCTAGTTCTAAGTCTAGTGTTAGTTCTAGTTTTGGTTCAATAGAAGATATATAATTTAACGCTGAATAACAACTAAAACAGGAACTAAAACTGGAACAAATAAATCTAGGAATCTAGGAATGGAAACCTATATCTATGAAAAGCTTAGTGTTAGTTCTAGTTTTGCACTAGCACCGTTACTAAGACCTAGAACTAGAATCATTCAGATTTAGCCGTCTTAAGAGACGTTCGGCTAAACCCGAATGATTCTACTTCTAGGTCTAGTGTTAGTTCTAGTGACGGTGCTATTGCAAAACTAGAACTAACACTAGACCTAGAACTAGAAACATTCGGGTTTAGCCGCACGTCTCTCAAGACGGCTAAACCCGAATGCTTTTAGTTCTAGGTCTAGAGTTAGTTCTAGTTTTAGTTCAATAAGAAATATTATACAACAATCTAACGCCACTAAAAGTAGTGATAGTTTTATGTGTAGAGTTAGTTTTAGTATTGCATTAATACTGTCTCTAGTATTTTTAAGAAGAAATTTAAACGTGCGGCTAAACCCGAATGTTTTAATAGTTTTATTGTAATTTTAATGTTTACTCACCCTAATAACTGCAATATCATTTTCGAATGTACTCTGATTAAAATCGGGATGGGTAAAAATATGTGTTACGGTCCTATATTCCGTTGAATCTGTGTTTTCAAGTAAATTAATGTCACCAACGACAACCGATAAACTTTCTGGGTCTATAACATTAGTATCATTCATCACACAATTCGCTGAAGTGATTAAATGGTTAAAATCGATTATTGTAGCTCCACAAAAATGATAATCTGGTTTAATGTATCTTAACGAAGCCTAAATTTGAATCAAAAATTAAAATTAATTTAAAATAAAAATAAAAAATTAATTACTTGGTATGGGAATTCGTCTCGTCTTTGAGCAATTAATCCAGTTGTTGTTCGAGGTTCGATATCCGTTGGAATTTCTCCCTCAATTCTATCTTCTAAACCTGTTGATAAAAGTAACTTTCAAATCACAAGTTATTAAAAAAATAAACACATAACAAAAAAATTAATACTTTTAATTGAATGCAACAAAAAAGTCTACATTTGTATTATGTCACCACACCAAAAATAACCAAAAATAAATGAATAAGCATTTAAATTACGATACCAATAAAGATAAAAAGCAAAACGTGGAGATAGTTAATCCCAATATAATAAATAATATATTGATAACTATGTTAATAGGATTAATTTTGAAACAACGCCAATGACGAAAATGTTGGTTAGGATAAATGAAAGTTTTGGGTGAAGTGTATTTGCTAAATTAGGTCCAAAATGTTTCATCCCTTGTTGAATCCTAATCCAATTATAATAAGCTGCGACGTCGGTGTAAACTCCAGGATGGTTTTTCAAGGCGCAATCTTTTCCCCACGACACAATTCCAGCCAATTTATTATCGCAAACGAGGGGACCACCACTATCTCCCTACAAACAAACATTATTAATCACAAAAAAATCAAATTTTATAAAAAAAAACCTGGCAAGCATCTTTTCCACCTTCCATTAAACCGGCGCAAATCATTCCATCGAGTATTCCGTATGGGTACCCAATCTCACAATCTTTTTGCGATACAATAGGAACAGTTACTTGTCGTAATTCTGCGCTGCTAAGTCCATTCTAAAAATTAACTTGGTTAATATAAATTATGACTAAGAAATTAATTAATTACGAAAGAGGTTTTTCCCCAACCGGAAACGACGCATCTCGTTCCAACACTAGGGGTTGTTCTCGCTAATTCGATTTTGTTGACGTAGTTTGTAAATTCACCTAAAGATTCGATCTAAAAAAAATTTAAACAAAAATATATAATTATAAAGTTGATTTAAAAATGCTACCATAAAGACTTAATTAACATGCCAAAAAAGATCCATCAAAAAAGAGTAATTAAGATTTATGACAAAAAAATCATCAACTTTCTAATCTTTAAATTAAAGAGAAAATTTTATCAATTACAAGAAACACTGTCCGATGACCATAAAACCGAAATAAAGAAGTTTGAAGCATATTTGATTTAAGAGTAGAATTGTTGCAACCTCAATCATGTCAAATCATACGTTGTAGTAACTCTTGCAGAACATTATTTTGATTAAACCGTTGAAGTTGCTGTCACCTTTGTGTTTACTTTTAACTTTTCTTTTTAACCGTATCTACAACATCCCACTTAACACAGACAAAATAAAGACGGAGATCAGGAATATAGCCAAAATCGGTATAAATAACGGATTCAACGTAAAGGAGATGCAAAGTATATATAATAGAGTCCACATATCCAGGATTAATAACATTGTATTCCCACACTTTAAGACAAAGACTAAACATATAGGTATCCCTTTCCATCCACTACTTGAGCAAAAACTAAAAAGAAACCTACTAAAATTTAACATTACTACAGCTTTCTCCTCTGGTTTTAAGATTGGTAAACTGCTCATGAATAACAAACAAAAACGTAAACATGAAGAACTCAGCGGTATATATCAAATCAACTGTTCAGACTGCCCAAAAATATACATAGGGCAAATCGGTAGGAACATCTTAACCCGTTTCAAAGAACACTCCTCTAAAGAAAACTCAGCTGTCTTTAAACATAAAAAAGAAACGTCACATAACATTCCTGCAGAAAACATAAAACTGCTGAAGAACCTTAAAAAATCGAGAGAGATGGACGTTTATGAAGAGTTACACATTAACATTAATAACAAAAAGAACATACTAATGAACGATTTCGTTGATACCAATAACAATAGACATTTTTTGAATTTCCTGTAAAAATAAAAAGAACTGCCTTTTCACACATTTTCCCGATGAATAATATCAATTTAAAAACCTGTAACCCCCGCACATGCTCAAATGCATTCCACTTTTCTTATTCTATCGTGTCTTAACCTTCGATGTGATACCTGTTTTCTTCGTAAGATTGTCGCATTGTGATTTTATTAAGAATTAAATGTTCTACAAACGGTTTTGAATGTTCAATTCCATCAAACAACCTAATTTTTGACGGTAAATTACCTTTATTATATATTTTATAATTTTAACTCCAATTCTTTATGCTATACTTATATGTCATTTCCTATTGTTTTTTTCTTTAATTTTAGTCGTGCCAAAGAAGAAGAATCATTAGATTCGAAACATATGTAGCACTTATTTAATAAAAAAATTTATACATCGTTTCAACTTATGAACTTTTATTCTATTTGTGTTTACTGTCCAAAAAAGATACTAACCATCAATTGTACCGCGTTATTTATTTATTTATTTATTCATATTCGAAACACGTACAGGAAAAATCTCAAAAAAGTGTCCACTATAATAATACAAAAGAAAAAGCAAACTACATAAGAAAGAAAAAAAAAACAAAAAAGACATCGAAAGCATGAAACAATAAAAAATGGAATGAAATCAGCAAGCACGAAGCAGAAAAGAAAATAAAGACAGACACTAGATTGGTCCACATAATCATCAATATTACTCGGATAGAAAAACAGAATAATAAGGACTATAAGAAAGGACAATTTTTGTTGCTTTTCTTTTCTGCCCCATCACCCGCAAGAAATCAATTTAAATATGTTAAACGAATGTGGTTTTTTAAACGACATCATTGAATTACAAAAGAAATGAACATTGAAACAATAAACATTGCAAGTGTGCATTAGTCTCAACAGAGGTGAACCGGCATGCGCACTAGATCCAGAAGCAGGTAGTCTGAACAAAAATGGTGATCGAGTAGCATAAGAAGGATCATTAAAGTGAATCTCCTCTAAAAGAACCGAAGTGTCGAGAACTCCATTAACTAGTTTGTACAGGAACAATAGATCCGTACTGTGTCGACGGCCACAAAGAGATCTTAAACCAAACACCCGGCATCTTTGGGAATAAGGGCAGTACGGAAGATAAAATTCGCTAGCAACGTATGCTATATATAAAGAAGTAATGCAGCGGACGTTAGTAAATGGACGAGAAATCCTAATAATACATGCTAGGCGCTTACTAGCTTCAGAAACGATAGAAGTAATATGATCGCGATTGAGTAGTCTAGAATCCGGAACAACGCCAAGATCTTTAATTGTAGAGGATTGAGTAAGATAATGCGGACCTAGCTTATATTTGGAGTGAACATTATATCTCTTTCTACTGAACGTGATCTGACAACACTTAGCAGGATTTAGCAATAAGTAATTTTGTGAGCAATAACAATCAAATCTGTCAATGTCATCTTGCAACCGAATACAGTCAGAAGCAGACCTGATGCTAACAAAAATTTTACAGTCAAAGAGAAAAATTCAAATAATACACTTAATACACTCAGAAACATCATTTATATAGGCTAGAAATAGAATACATCCAAGGTGGCTATCTTGAGGTACACCAGATGTAACAGGTGTAAAACTAGATATGAAATTATTTACTTTCACTGCTTAAAACCTCTTACAATTAGATATATAGGAGGAAATCCATAGAGACAGCCCGTTAGATAAGTTAAATTTGTTCAGCTTATCCATAAGAATGTTATGGTGAAGCTTGTCAAAAGCTTCTGTCGGATCGGTGTAAATAGCATCCACCTGAGAGTTATCATTCATAGAGTTCTGAATATATTGTGATTCGTCTCAACTGATCGCCTACGCAAAAAAAACGTGCTGTTGAGGGATAATAGCAGGTCGAAGGTAGCTGTATAAGTTGTCATAAATTAATTTTTCAAAGACCTTCGAAACAATGGGTAATAAGGAAATTGGACGATAGTTGCACACAAAATGTCTGCTACCCGATTTAAAGACTGGAGTTATGAACGCTTTTTTCCATTCAGAAGGAAAGACTGAATTTTCAATGGAGCGGCTGAAGATAATGAATTTTACACATTTAGCAATAAAGTATCCCGGCAAGCCATCGGGGCCAGGGCCCAATTTATGGTCGACTTGTGTCAGAAGGTGAGAGACATCACGTTCAGAGAACCAAGGCTACGATTGGTAAATAACATTTTGCTTGTGAGAGGTATTCAGGCAACCGTCGATATAAACCGAACTAAAAAACGGAGAAAAAAGTTCAGTTATTCGCTTCCCGTCATCTGCCACCTCACCGTTCAGCTCTATTCATGCTGTCTGGTAGATAAAGGTGTAATTTATTTTAGAAAAAATGCAGTATATCGAAAGACCTAAAATACCATTTATTTTAAAGGATAAAGCCAAGCGCCAATCACGTTATACGATTTCAAGTCCGATTTGCATCATACGTCTAAGAGCCGACTTAGATACGACACTTACGAAATAGATGTTTATGTCTTTTATTTTATATAGAATTTAAGTCTAACTAGTTTCGGCCCTTAGCCATCTTCTACACTAGCACTATCAACTAGAATCATTCGGGTATAGCCGTCTTTAGAGACGTGGTACTAAATCCGAATGTTTCTAGTTCTAGGTCTAGTGTTAGTTCTAGTGGCAGTGGTAGGTAGTGCTAATTAGCATAAGATATTACTATGTTGTATATTTTTATTGAAGTAAAACTAGAACGAAAACTAGAAACATTCGGGTTTAATCGTGAAATAAACTTTCAGTTGTCAATGTCAACTTTAATTTTATTATTATATTCGTATTCTTCATAAAATAATCTTTAAAGCGAGACCAAACATAACGCATTTATCTCAAAAATCCAAAAAGTTCGATCTTTCAACTATTAATTTTGACATATTTGTCAACTTTATAAAAAATCCTTTAAAATGAGTCCAAACTCGACATATTTAACTTTGATATTAACGGAGATACAATCACTTCCGGTCTGAAACGTCAACGTCAATTTTGACATATTTGTCATCTTCATTAAAAAACCTTTAAAATGAGTCCAAAGATGACGCACTTATCTCAAAAAACAAAAAAGTTTGAATAAAAAACATTAAACCCGAAGTTAGCAATTTAATTTTTAAATATTAATACCAACCTTAATTTTTAATTTTTTTTTTATTATATTTTTATTTTTGTGATAAATATTAAGACATTTTATAAAAATTAAGAATTTGTCAAAATGACATTGACATGTTAAATCGGAAGTTGCTTATATCTCGAGTAATATTGGAATTAAACTTATTGTGTTTGGACTCATTTTAAAGGATTTTTCACGACGATTACAAATATGTCAAAATTGACGTTGACATTCTTAACCGGAAGTTGCCCATAACTTCATTAATATTGTAGATAAATATGTCGTGTTTGTACTCATTTTAAAGGATTTTTAATGAAGATTACAAATATGTCAAATTGAGGTTGACATTTTAAACCTGAAGTTAGTTATCATATAATAGAAGGTTTATAACTGAAGTTAATCTAGTGTTAGTCACTTTTCCGTACTTTCTTTTTATTATTAACGTGTTTTTTAGGTCATTTCACGTTGATTAAAAAAAAATCGTCAATTTTCGAGAAACTTGTTTGTAAAATGGGTAGGATGCGGGATGTTAATCTATTTGTAGAGTCCCTGAAGATTGCGAAGGGCCGAAACTAGTTAGACTTAAATTCTATATAAAATAGAAATCAGTTGAAAAGTACAAAATCAAACTCTAGATAATTTCCTTCAAAAATTTGTACACGAAACATTATTTTGACTTTAGTATTTGTGATTAAATTTGTGCCACGACTTACAGAAACACCCTGTATAATCGTAAAACGGCTGACCAAGCGGATTCTGTACTTGTGGTGGTTGTCATCAGTGTTCTGTGATAAAAAGAGACAGGCACCAAACAATTTTCAATAGTTTGAGCCTGTCTATTCTGAGAAGTCTTATATTTTTAGAGAGATGAAAACGAAAATCGCGAAAACTGATGCATAATGAATGCGTGAAAACCCAAGCAGACTTGAGATACCTGTCAGAAAAACCGAGCAATCTGTCTAGCGGAAAAATAAATTCTACAACATCATCAATAATTTGTAGTATAGCCTTCGTTATGTTTCTAACCTGAGTTCACTCACAAGAAGGCCAACTTTCTTTAGTTACAATCTTTAAAAAAATCTTTAGTTACAAGTTGATTAATTTAAAATATCATTTAAGTACTTACCCTAAGAATAGCAACATCATTTTGGAACGTTTTATAATTATAATTAGGATGCGGAACAATCACTTGAACCGCTCGAATAACCGTGTGCTCATTAGGTTCCTTCACATTTAAATCCCCAACGACAATAATCAGTCTTGCCGCAGGAAGCAGCTTTTGGTTATCATCATAAACGCAGTGAGCGGCGGTTAACACATTCGTATCGTCAATGATGGTGGCCCCACAGAAATGTTGCCCCGTACTCAATCTAAAGGAGGCTTGGTACGCGAAATCTTCCCGATTAGTAACGCGAGTTCCCCCCACGATTCTCGTCTGTGGTGTTTGAGAACCCGGCGTGATATCTACAGGGAGATAAAGAATTTTGAATTCTTCTGTGTCGAGTGTTAAATCGGCATGGGTGTTTAATGCGGATCTAGATGGGGAGTTAATTGGATTTTGTTCATTAGCAGTTTCCTCAATAGGAGTTTCCTCATTAGCAGTTTCTTCATTAGCAGTTTCTTCATTAGCAGTTTCCTCAATAGGAGTTTCCCCAATAGGAGTTTCCTCAACAGGAGTTTCCCCAATAGGAGTTTCCTCAATAAGAGTTTCCCCAATAGGAGTTTCCCCAATAGGAGTTTCCCCAATAGGAGTTTCCCCAATAGGATTTTCCCCAATAGGTGCTTCTTCAATATGAGTTTCTTGCACAGGAGTTTCCTGACTAGGAGTTTCTTCAGATTGAGTTTCTTCATTTGCTACATCTTTATTAACTTCCTCATTATCTGTGGGAGATTGATTTTCTTCTAAATTAGGATTATCTGTGTTAGTTCCTTCTTCAATTACAGTTTCCCCCTCGGTTTTTTCTTCTACATTTGTCCCACTATCTCCAGTTTCTTCTTCGTTTATATTTTCTTGTGGAGCTTCCTCGTTTCCGGTTGATTCAGGTTGACTTTCCTCCTGAGTTGCTGTTTCTTCTTGATTATTTTCATTTTCTTCTTTAACCTCTTCGTTTATTACATCGGAAGTGGTTTCGTTACTTTCCCGTTTTTTGATGTTATGAACTTGGCTGTTTTCGACGTGGTCGTTGAAAGAATGCTCATTATATTCGTTGTATTCGTCGTTATCGTAAGATTTCGATAAATATTCATCTAATTTTAAGAAGAAAGTTGTTTATTAATAAAATTATAGTTAAAAATTGATTTTTTTCGAAACATACGATTTTATAGATAACATGTTTGTTTGAGTATAAACAATATTATCGCAATATTAAAAAGTAAATAATAAAATATTTACCGTTATCCCATTGGAGGCCGTCTAAATTATCCGCCTTTAAAACACCTACATTTTCATTGCTGTTGTTATCTAAATAAACATCTAATAAGTCGTCATCGCGGAGTTCTTGGTTTTTATTAAAAGTTGGGTGTGCAGAAATTGATTGGAAAACTACAAATAAAAATTTGGATTAATCAAATTTTATTTTATTAATCAATACCATTTAACTCAATAAAAAATTAAATAATACTTAGAATTTTTTATTTTGTTATCTGTCCAGATTTAAAACTTAACCGAAACAATGATAATAATCCATGCGATTATAATATATAATGCGAGATAAGGATGATAATTCGGTTTCGTAACAATATTTTATGAATCATTCACTATTTTTTTAAAATAAATTTAATTAAAATCAACCACATTTAAGAAATTTCCTGAATAAATTGTTAATTCTCAACAACTTTGAGAATTATCTAATTTTATTTATTAACAATAAATATTTGAGCTTAAAAAATACTTAGCTTTAATTTTAATTAAATTAAAATAAAATAATTATTAAAACAAACATAAAAACTTACCTAAAAATATTGAAAAAACGATTACACACTTCCTGCCCATTTTCAGCAAAAACTTTTGTTGAACTGTCTCGGTTATTTTTCGTTGTGCAAGATAAGGAAGATAAGACATTACTTATCATCAGTAATAAACCCAGCATTTTCCATCGCGGTTAATTCACGGACAAATATGAAATTGACTCTTCCTAATCGTTTTCATTAAACATTGATGAAATTAATGAGTCAACAATTAGATACCATATTTACATTCAAATAAAGGATTCACTTATGCGCAGTTAGCCCTCTTATAGATACCATTTTAAATGTAAAACCAGGATTTAATTTTCACCTATTCGAAGTTTTCACGATATTTATGCATCTAAGAGCAAAAGTGTAAAGAGCAATATTGTTTAGAATAAAATTTGCAACAACTTTTATACTAAAACTTTTTTTCTAAAACTTTCCGTATCCCGTGCTCTATCAATAACATGTAAAATCACGATTGCACATTTTAATTTTTTCGATTTCTTCTTGATGTTTATGCATCTGATTGTGAGAGCAAAAGTGTACAAGAGATATATTGTTAAGAATATTGTTTGCGACAATTTTTGTACCAAAACTTTTTTTCTAAAACGTTCCAATCACGTGATTTACCAATAAAGATGTAAAACCACGATTTCGTCTAATTTTCACTTTTTCGACTTTTTCTCGATATTTATCCATCTGGGAGCAAAAGTGTAGAAGACCAATATTGTTAAGAATAAAGTTTGTAACAACTTTTATATTAAAACTTTTTTTCTAAAACGTTCCGAATCCCTTGCTCTACGAACAACAGTATGTAAAAGGACGATTTCACATAATTTTCACTTTTTAGAATTTTTCTCTATATTTATCCATCTGAGAGAAAAAGTGTAAAAAGCAATATTGTTAAGAATAAGATTTGCTACAATTTTTGTACCAAAACTTCTTTTCTAAAACGTTCCAATCGCTTGATTTATCAATAAAGAGATGTAAAACCACGATTTCGTCTAATTTTCACTTTTTCGAATTTTTCTCGATATTTATCCATCTGGGAGCAAAAGTGTAGAAGACCAATATTGTTAAGAATAAAGTTTGTAACAACTTTTATATTAAAACTTTTTTTCTAAAACGTTCCGAATCCCTTGCTGTACAAACAACAGTATGTAAAAGCACGATTTCAAGTAATTTTCACTTTTTAGAATTTTTCTCGATATTTATCCATCTGGGAGCAAAAGTGTAGAAGACCAATATTGTTAAGAATAAAATTTGTAACAACTTTTATACTAAAACTTTTTTTCTAAAACGTTCCGAATCCCTTGCTCTACAAACAACAGTATGTAAAAGGACGATTTCACATAATTTTCACTTTTTAGAATTTTTCTCGATATTTATCCATCTGAGAGAAAAAGTGTAAAAGAGCAATATTGTTAAGAACAAGCTTTGCTAATATTTTTGTACCAAAACTTTTTTTCTAAAACGTTCCAATCGCGTGATTTACCAATTAAGAGATGTAAAACCACGATTTCGTCTAATTTTCACTTTTTCGAATTTTTCTCGATATATATCCATCTGGGAGCAAAAGTGTAGAAGACCAATATTGTTAAGAATAAAATTTGTAACAACTTTTATATTAAAACTTTTTTTCTAAAACGTTCCGAATCCCTTGCTCTACACACAACAGTATGTAAAAGGACGATTTCACATAATTTTCACTCTTTAGAATTTTTCTCGATATTTATCCACCTGAGAGAAAAAGTGTAAAAGAGCAATATTGTTAAGAATAAGGTTTGCTACAATTTTTGTACCAAAACTTTTTTTCTAAAACGTTCCAATTCCGTAATTTGCCAATAAAGAGATGTAAAACCACGATTTCGTCTAATTTTCACTTTTTCGAATTTTTCTCGATATATATCCATCTGGGAGCAAAAGTGTAAAAGAGCAATATTGTTAAGAATAAAATTTGTTACAACTTTTATATTAAAACCTTTTTTCTAAAACGTTCCGAATCCCTTGCTCTACAAACAACAGTATGTAAAAGCACGATTTCAAGTAATTTTCATTTTTTAGAATTTTTCTCGATATTTATCCACCTGAGAGAAAAAGTGTAAAAGAGCAATATTGTTAAGAATAAGGTTTGCTACAATTTTTGTACCAAAACTTTTTTTCTAAAACGTTCTAATCGCGTGATTTACCAATGAATAGATGTAAAACCACGATTTCGTCTAATTTTTACTTTTTCGAATATTTCTCGATATTTATCCATCTGGGAGCAAAAGTGTAAAAGAGCAATATTGTTAAGAATAAGGTTTGCTACAATTTTTGTACCAAATTTTTTTTTCTAAAACGTTCCGATCGCGTGATTTACCAATGAAGAGATGTAAAACCACGATTTCGTCTAATTTTCACTTTTTCGAATTTTTCTCAATATTTATCCATCTGGGAGCAAAAGTGTAGAAGACCAATATTGTTAAGAATAAAATTTGTAACATCTTTTATATTAAAACTTTTTTTCTAAAACGTTCCGAATCCCTTGCTTTACAAACAACAGTATGTAAAAGGACGATTTCACGTAATTTTCACTTTTTAGAATTCTTCTCGATATTTATCCATCTGAGAGAAAAAGTGTAAAAGAACAATATTGTTAAGAATAAGGTTTGCTACAATTTTTGTACCAAAACTTTTTTTCTAAAACGTTCCAATCGCGTGACTTACCAATGAGGAGATGTAAAACCACGATTTCGTCGAATTTTCAATTTTCGAATTTTTCTCGATATTTATCCATCTGAGAGCAAAAGTGTAAAGAGCAATATTGTTAAGAATAAAGTTTGCTACAATTTCTGTACCAAAACTTTTTTTCTAAAATGTTTCAATCCCGTGATTTCCCAATAAAGAGATGTAAAACCACGATTTCGTCTAATTTTCATTTTTCGAATTTTTCTCGATATTTATCCATCTGGGAGCAAAAGTGTAAAAGAGCAATATTGTTAAGAATAAAATTTGTTACAACTATTGTATTAAAACTTTTTTTCTAAAACGTTCCGAATCCCTTGCTCTACAAACAACAGTATGTAATAGGACGATTTCACATAATTTTCACTTTTTAGAATTTTTCTCGATATTTATAAATCTGAGAGAAAAAGTGTAAAAGAGCAATATTGTTAAGAATAAGGTTTGCTACAATTTTTGTACCAATACTTTTTTTCTAAAACGTTCCAATCGCGTGATTTACCCATAAAGAGATGTAAAACCCCGATTTCGTCTAATTTTCACTTTTTCGAATTTTTCTCGATACTTATCCATCTGGGAGCAAAAGTGTAGAAGACCTATATTGTTAAGAATAAAATTTGTAACAACTTTTATATTAAAACTTTTTTTCTAAAACGTTCCGAACACCTTGCTTTACAAACAACAGTATGTAAAAGGACGATTTCACATAATTTTCACTTTTTAGAATTCTTCTCGATATTTATCCATCTGAGAGAAAAAGTGTAAAAGAGCAATATTGTTAAGAATAAGGTTTGCTACAATTTTTGTACCAAAACTTTTTTTCTAAAACGTTCCAATCGCGTGATTTCCCAATAAAGAGATGTAAAACCACGAGTTCGTCTAATTTTCACTTTATCGAATTTTTCTCGATATTTATCCATCTGAGAGCAAAAGTGTAAAAGAGCAATATTGTTAAAAATAAGATTTGCTACAATTTTTGTACCAAAACTTTTTTTCTAAAACGTTCCAATCGCGTGCTTTACTGGCAACAATATTATGTAAAATCACGATTTAATATTATTATCACTTTTGCGATTTTTTCTCGATATTTATGCATGTGAGAGCAAAAGTGTAAAAGAGCAATATTGTTAACGATAAAATTTGCTACAACTTTTATACTAAAACTTTTTTTCGAATCCCGTGCAAAAACATATTTAATGTGGCTTAACTTCGAATAGGAAAAAAAATTCGTTTATAATTTTGCACACACCTTTAACTCATTAATCTCGTTCTAAGCAATCGATTAATCACAATTTAAATTTAGATTTTAAAATAAATCCTAAAATAAAGATAACCTAGAAAAGATAATAATTACTTTAATACAAATTTTCTTATCTCAAACTTCTTTCATAATCGATTTTATAATATTAAAAATTCTTTTTGAATCTTCGATGAAAACAATAAATATACACAATGGGTTTATTTGCGAAATTCGATGAAGAAAGACCACATTTTTTTTTTGAGTATGAACAATTAAAAACAATACCCACAATGTTAGAAATTTATAAGATAACATTTTCTGTCCCAAATTTCTTTAAAAACCGCCTTATCAGTCGATCTTATTGTGCTACAGCATGTGCTGCAATATCCAATTGCCTCAAATAGATACCGAAGATAAGCACGTTGTTTAAAATCATTAAGACGGTTATTTCTGTGCTCATTGTAACTAAAAACTTACACAAAAATACCAATTTCATTTTTTATTAATTCATAAAAAGAAGTAAATTATGGCAATTACAAATTTAATCATCACAATTATTTTATTAATTTCTGTTTGTTATGGTAAATATCTTTTATTTTATTTATTTATTTATTTTAATTCCTCTTCTTAGTTTCAACAACCGATGATAGAATAGTTGGTGGTCGCCCTGCTTTAATTGGCGAAATCCCATACCAAGTATCCATAAGAAGATCTTACAACGATCGGCATTTTTGTGGTGGTGTTTTAATCACTTCAAAACACATTTTAACAGCAGCTCATTGTATGTATTACATTTGGGGGGGATTGTTACCCCCGCTCGTGATCAGTGCTGTTTTTGGACAACTCAATCTTCCAATTGAAGAAAAAAGTGTTTATAGAAACGCTTCAAAGATCGTGATTTATCCATCGTTTATCCGAAAAACAATGTCCGATGATTTAGCCATCATAGAAGTAAATGAAGAGTTACCCATTGGGAAAAATCCTTTGATCAACACTGTTTCTTTAAGAAACGAAAAATTAGAGAGAGGGAAATGTTTTGTTAGTGGATGGGGGGTTGAAGAATATGTAATAAAGTTCTTTTTCGTTTTAATTTCATTTAATTTTCTTCGAATTTTTAGAATACAACAACAATAAGTAAAGATTTATTACTTGCGGAAGTAAATCTTATTGATTTTGATGTGTGCCAAAAGAAGTACGGAAATATATCTCTTTATGATGGAATGTTGTGCGCAGGGCATGTTAATGGAACAACTGATGCTTGTCAAGTATTTAACAAATTAGTCAAAAGTTAACAATATCATTTTTAGGTATTTATTTATTTTTTTTAGGGTGATTCTGGTGGTCCACTTATATGCGAAGGTCTCCTAACTGGAATCGTTTCAACGGGAAGCGGTTGCGGATCCGCGGATTTTCCAGGAATTTATACGGAAGTCTCGAAATATTACGACTGGATAATTAACGTTACAACTTCGAATTATAAACCGACGAGTTTATCTCAAAATCAGCAATCATTTGATGGAAATAATGAATTTTTAACAAACAAAGATTTTTATAGCAACAAATCATTTTTAATTAGGGAAAATATAGTGTTAATTTTAATGATTATAATTAAACATTTAATAAATTTTATATGATTATTTTATAAATAAACAAAAAAGAAAATTTTATTTTAAACAATTATTATTCAATGTCAATCGAAACCTAAAAAGAATAATTTGACAATAAGAAACTAACTTCACACAAATTCATTTTAATCAAGATGTAAAGATTTAAAAGAATTTCCTTTTCCGATAAAATTAAACGTTCTTAATCCAACATCTTACCATTTTTCCCGAAACTTGTTGTTAGCTAAAACTAAAAATCTAAAACGTTTAGAACAAAAAAAATATAAATTATTTAAACGTCATTAACATAACCTACAAATTCAAAACGTCAAAAACACCTTGTTCTTTAAAACAAATTCATATTTTTAATTATAAACTTTCCTGTTTCATAATTATTTACAAATAATAGTAATTTTAACTATTCATTAATAGATGCCGCCACCTAATCTTTCGTTTAAAATGAAATGAACGGATTTTTATCGCATGTAATCGTAATCTTATCAATGTAATAACAAGAGTATTAATGGATTTAAATTGTTTATTAATTGACTCAAATTGTTCCTCATTTACCGAATTTCAACATTAAAAACAACTTAATTTTTTCTACTTTTTAAATAATTAATTGAACCAAGGATGTCTATATAATACATAAGATAAGCTTGACGTCTAAAGTTTTCGTAATAACTTGAAAACTAAAAATGATGAGAGAAAATGTTGTGGATGAAAATTCTTTGTACTAAACCAATAAAATGATATTCGTAACCTGACTATCATTATAATAGTCTTAAAGGAAGTAATATCAAACATTGCAAATTAGGGGTATTTAGCAACAAAATGATTTTTAACTCAAAAATTAAAAACTGAAGTTGAGAGTTAATTAATAAAAATTGTTCATAATAAATCACAAAAACATAATCCATAAACATTTTTATTCCAATTATTACGCATTCTTTGTTATAAACCATAAAATGAAAAAATCTCTAAATTGACGTATTTGGATAAACATTTTCGTTATAACTCGAAAACTAGTAATGATAGAAGAAAATGTTGCGGATGATAATTATTTGTAATAAAGCAACAAAACGATTTCCATAAGCGATTATAATCCAATTATGATAATTACCAACATAGCGGAATTAAAATCTTAAACATTACAAATTTGACGCATTTAAGATTAAAATGATGTTTAACTTAAAAATTAAAAACTCGGGAAGAAAGTTATATTAACAAAAGTTGTTCATAATAAATCACAAAAGCCTAATCTATAAACATTTTTCTTCCAATTATTACCCTTTTTTCGTTATAAACCATAAAATGGAAAAATCTGTAAATTGACATATTTGGATAAACATTTTCGTTATAACTCGAAAACTAGAAATGATAAAAGAAAACGATGCGGATGAAAATTATTTGTAATGAAGCCACAAAACGAATTCCACAAGCGATTATAACTCAATTATGATAATTACCAACATAGCGGATGTTAAATCTTAAACATTACAAATTTGTTGTATTTAATGTTAAACTGATGTTTAACTTAAAAATTAAAAACTCGTAGAGAAAATTATATTAACAAAAATTGTTCATAACAAATCATCAAAACGTAATCTATAAACATTTTTATTCCAATTATTACGCTTTTTTTGTTATAAACCATAAAATGGAAGAATCTCTAAATTAACATAGTTGGATAAACATTTTCGTTATAACTCGAAAACTAGAAATGACAGAAGAAAATGTTGGTGAAGAAAATTATTATAACAATTATAACCCAATTATCATAATTAACAACCTAGCGGTTTTAAAATCTTAAACATTACGAATTTCACGCATTGAAGGTTAAAGTGATATTTGACTTAAAAATTAAAAACTCTTGATGAAAGTTATATTAACAAAAATTATTCATAATAAATCATAAAAACATAATCCATAAACATTTTTCTTCTAATTATTACGCATTTTTTGCTATAAACCAGTAAATGAAAACATTTCTAAATTGATGTATTTGGATAAACATTTTAGTTATAACTCAAAAACTAGAAATGATAGAAGAAAATTTTGCGGATGAAAATTCTTTGTAATGAAGCAACAAATCGAATTCCACAAGCGCTTATAACCCAATTATGATAATTACCAACATAGCGGCTTTAAAATCTTAAACATTAGAAATTTGTCGCATTTAAGGAGAAAATGATGTTTAACTTAAAAATTAAAAACTCGGGAAGAAAGTTATATTAACAAAAACTGTTCATAATAAATCACAAAAACCTAATCCATAAACATTTTTATTCTAATTATTGCACATTTTTTGTTATAAACCATTAAATGAAATAATCTCTAAATTGATGTATTTGGATAACCATTTTCGTTATAACTTGAAAACTAGAAATGATAGAAGAAAATGTTGCAGATGAAAATTATTTGTAATGAAGCAATAAAACGATTTCCACAAGTGATTATAACCCAATTATGATAATTACCAACATAGCGGTTGTAAAATCTTAAACATTAAAAATTTGTTGTATTTAATGTTAAAATGATGTTTAACTTAAAAATTAAAAACTCGGGAAGAAAGTTATATTAACAAAAACTGTTCATAATAAATCACAAAAACCTAATCCATAAACATTTTTCTTCCAATTATTACGCTTTTTTTGTTATTAAAAATAAAATGGAAAACTTTCTAAATTAACGTAGTTGGATAAACATTTTCGTTATAACTCGAAAACTGGAAATGATAGAAGAAAATGTTGCTGATGAAAATTATTTGTAATGAAGCAACAAAACGATTTCCACAAGCGATTATAACCCAATTATAATAATTACCAACATAGCGGATTTAAAATCTTAAACATTACAAATTTATCGCATTTAAGGAGAAAATGTTGTTTAACTTAAAAATTAAAAACTCGGGAAGAAAGTTATATTAACAAAAATTGTTCATAATAAAACACAAAAATCTAATCCAAAAACATTTTTCTTCCAATTATTACGGGTTTTTTGTTATAAACCATAAAATGGAAGAATCTCTAAATTAACGTAGTTTGATAAACATTTTCGTTATAACTCGAAAACTAGAAATGATAGAAGAAAACGTTGCGAATGAAGATTATTTGTAATGAAGCAACAAAACGATTTCCACAAGCGATTATAAACCAATTATGATAATTACCAACATAGCGGATTTAAAATCTTAAACATTACAAATTTGACGCATTTAGGGATAAAATGATGTTTAACTTAAAAATTAAAAACTGGTGAGGAAAGTTATATTAACAAAAATTGTTCATAATAAATCCCAAAAACATAATCCATAAACATTTTTCTTCCAATTATTACGGTTTTTCTGTTATAAACCATAAAATGGAAGAATCTCTAAATTAACGTAGTTGGATAAACATTTTCGTTATAACTCAAAAACTAGAAATGATAGAAGAAAATGTTGCTTATGTAAATTATTTGTAATGAAGCAACAAAACGATTTTCACAAGCGATTATAACCCAATTATGATAATTACCAACATAGCGGATTTAAAATCTTAAACATTACAAATTTGACGTATTTAAGGTTAAAATGATGTTTAACTTAAAAATTAAAAACTGGGGATAATACTTATATTAACAAAAATTGTTTATAATAAATCACAAAAATATAATCCATAAACATTTTTCTTCCAATTATTACGTATTTTTTGCTATAAATCATAAAATGAAAAAATCTCTAAATTGACGTATTTGGATAAACATTTTCGTTATAACTCGAAAACTAGAAATGATAGAAGAAAATGTTGCTTATGTAAATTATTTGTAATGAAGCAACAAAACGATTTTCACAAGCGATTATAACCCAATTATGATAATTACCAACATAGCGGATTTAAAATCTTAAACATTACAAATTTGACGTATTTAAGGTTAAAATGATGTTTAACTTAAAAATTAAAAACTGGGGATAATACTTATATTAACAAAAATTGTTTATAATAAATCACAAAAATATAATCCATAAACATTTTTCTTCCAATTATTACGTATTTTTTGCTATAAATCATAAAATGAAAAAATCTCTAAATTGACGTATTTGGATAAACATTTTCGTTATAACTCGAAAACTAGAAATGATAGAAGAAAATGTTGCGGATGAAAATTATTTGTAATGAAACAACAAAATGATTTCCACAAGCGATTATAACCCAATTATGATAATTAAGAACATAGCGGATTTAAAATCTTAAACATTACAAATTTGTCGCATTTAAGGTGAAAATGATGTTTAACTTAAAAATTAAAAACTCGGGAAGAAAGTTATATTAACAAAAATTGTTCATAATAAAACACAAAAATCTAATCCAAAAACATTTTTCTTCCAATTATTACGGGTTTTTTGTTATAAACCATAAAATGGAAGAATCTCTAAATTAACGTAGTTGGATAAACATTTTCGTTATAACTCAAAAACTAGAAATGATAGAAGAAAATGTTGCTTATGTAAATTATTTGTAATGAAGCAACAAAACGATTTTCACAAGCGATTATAACCCAATTATGATAATTACCAACATAGCGGATTTAAAATCTTAAACATTACAAATTTGACGTATTTAAGGTTAAAATGATGTTTAACTTAAAAATTAAAAACTGGGGATAATACTTATATTAACAAAAATTGTTTATAATAAATCACAAAAATATAATCCATAAACATTTTTCTTCCAATTATTACGTATTTTTTGCTATAAATCATAAAATGAAAAAATCTCTAAATTGACGTATTTGGATAAACATTTTCGTTATAACTCGAAAACTAGAAATGATAGAAGAAAATGTTGCGGATGAAAATTATTTGTAATGAAACAACAAAATGATTTCCACAAGCGATTATAACCCAATTATGATAATTAAGAACATAGCGGATTTAAAATCTTAAACATTACAAATTTGACGCATTTAGGGATAAAATGATGTTTAACTTAAAAATTAAAAACTGGTGAGGAAAGTTATATTAACAAAAATTGTTCATAATAAATCCCAAAAACATAATCCATAAACATTTTTCTTCCAATTATTACGGTTTTTCTGTTAGAAACCATAAAATAGAAGAATCTTTAAATTAACGTAGTTGGATAAATATTTTCGTTATAACTCGAAAACTAGAAATGATAGAAGAAAATGTTGCTTATGTAAATTATTTGTAATGAAGCAACAAAACGATTTTCACAAGCGATTATAACCCAATTATGATAATTAACAACCTAGCGGGTTTAAAATCTTAAACATTACGAATTTCACGCACTTAAGGATAAAATGATGTTTAACTGAAAAACTATAAATTGGAGATGAAAGTTATATTAAAAAAATGGTTCATAATAAATCACAGAAATATAATTCATAAACATTTTTCTTCCATTTATTACGCTTTTTTTGTTATAAACCATAAAATGGAAAAATCTCTAAATTAACGTAGTTGGATAAACATTTTCGTTATAACTCGAAAACTAGAAATGACGCAAGAAAATGTTGCGGATGAAAATTATTTGTAATGAAGCAACAAAACATTGTAAAACTTAAACATTACAAATTTGTCGCATTTAAGGTTAATAAATCACAAAAACATAATCTATAAACATTTTTATTCGAATTATTACGCATTTTTTTGCTATAAATCAAAAAATCACTAAATTGACCAAATGTTGTGATTGAGAATTGATTGCAATAAATTAATAAAGTGGCTATATTTGACAGTTTAGCAATAAAACTTCAATGTTGCCGTGGATCTAATAGCAAAGGAATAAATGTTTTTAAAAAATTCAGAAGCTTATTTTTCTTTTATAGGTACGCTTTGAGTTGTTGCATCAGAAATTTACAATTAAAACCATTAAAATTTATTAACTTTTTATTGGTTCAAGTTAAATCAATTTTTTAAAAGATAATGACAAATCTGCGAATTAAATTGTCATCAATTAAAATCATTCCCTTATTAGAGAAAAATGTTTGTCCAATCATATGTATAGATATCCTCACTCACACAAATACATAAAAGTACCAACCTTTTATAAACTAATATGCGATACAAATCCTAACAAAAACCGATTTTTATCGAAAACGTCGTACAACGACGTTAACGATAACGCGCGACGCCAATGGGAGTGCTTTACAAAATCCCTTAGCTATCATACTTTGAACCACAAAAGTTTCAGTGAGAGACCACAACTCAACTACACTTATTATAAACCAGTTGATCTCCAACTTTTTTTTATTTCATCTTAAAACAAAGTGATTCAATAAGATAAATCAATAAGAAGATAAATCAAAAAGAAGATAAATCAAAGAAAAAAAATAAATCATGTCGTTTAGAATAGATGACATCTTAAAAAGAGAATCTTCAGAGAATCGTAAAGATATTGATAGAGAGAGTCCGCCATTTGTCCAAAAAGAAGTAGCCCCTAAAGATTTAGTACAAGAATCGTCTAAAGATATCTCAAAAAGTGTTGAACCAGCGCCGGTTTTTGGGTTAACCCCAGATAGTATTTTACATCAATCTTTATTAAATAGACAATTGGGTTATTATAGAAGTGCAATGGATTACCAAAATTTGAGGCTGTTGCCGAACATGTATTGTGATAAAATGTATATGCCTTATGGGGGAAGTTATGATCCTTATATGGATAAAGGTGAGTTAGAATCATTATTTTTATAAAATTTAACGGAAATTTTTTGGAATAATTGTTTTTCAAAATGTTATTTGGGTGGGGGGGAATACAAAAATTAATGGACAATTAACTTAAGTGTACACTCCAATAAATAAATTATTAAGTGGTTTTTATCGGTAAATTTGAAGAGCACTACATCTAATATCAATTAAGAAGAATATTGTATCCGAAAAGGAAGCGCCGTTTACGTTTGTCGGCTAGATCAAAGCTTATATGAAAGCATAAAACGATGTATTACTCAGTGTTTCATTGAGATATTGACTAATATTGATTACAATCTTTTGTACACACACCTAAAAGTAATATTGGTTTTAAATTCGATTTTATTATTTCACTTTTTAACTTAATTTACCTTCGTTTAATGGAAAGTAGTCATACTTGATGATAACAACTCATTTTAACTCTGCGAAAATTGAATATAAATGGGTTTTTCTTTATTTATCAACGAGCTAATATTTACATTTTAGTGTATAGGTATCAATTATTCGTACTTTAACTTTAACAAATATTTAATAAGACGATAACATTTTTATTGGAAAAAAAATTCTACGCGTCGCTTTTTTATCTAAATGCCAAAACGACCAAACCGCACCTTATCGCTCAACTTTTAACGTTTTTAACCAGAATTGTAAATTGTTATAGTAGATCCACTTCCTAATGCGGTTACGATGTCCCCACAAATAATCACTTATAGAGTTGCTATTGTGGCTATTCTTTAGGTATTTCCATTACATAAAATAAATTGATAAGAAAAAGTTTAAAAAGTCCCCATTAAAAAATATTAATACAATAAAAAGCATCGGATTTCGAATATTAAGACGGCTAAATCCAAATGATTCTAGTTCTAGGTCTAGTGTTTTGCACTAGCACTGTCACTAAGACCTAGAACTAGAATCATTCGGGTTTAGCCGTCTTGAAAACGTACGGCTAATCATGTATAACTAATGATGTTTAAGGATAAAATAATGTTTAACTTAAAAATTAAAAACTGGGGATGAGAGTTATATTAACAAAAATTGTTCATAATAAATCATAAAAACATAATTCATAAACATTTTTCTTCTAATTATTACGCATTTTTTGCTATAAACCAGAAAATGAAAACATTTCTAAATTGACGTATTTGGATAAACATTTAGGTTATAACTCAAAAACTAGAAATGATAGAAGAAAATTTTGGGGATGAAAATTCTTTGTAATGAAGCAACAAAACGAATTCCATAAACGATTATAACCCAATTATGATAATTACCAACATAGCGGGTTTAAAATCCTAAACATTACAAATTTGACGCATTTAACGATAAAATGATGTTTAATTTAAAAATTAAAAACTCTCCAAAAAAGTTATATTAACAAAAATTGTTTATAATAATTCACAAAAACATAATCCATAAACATTTTTCTTCCAATTGTTACATATTTTTTGCTATAAACCATAAAATGAAAATATCTCTAAATTGGGGTATTTGGATAAACATTTTTGTCAAAACTCGGAAACTATAAGTGATAGAAGAAAGTGTTGCGGATGAAAATTATTTGTAATGAAGCAGCAAAACGATATCCACAAGCGATTATAACACATTTATGATAATTACCAATCTAGCGAATTTAATATCTTAAACATTACAAATTTGACGCATTTAGGATAAAATGATGTTTAATTTAAAAATTAAAAACTTGGGATGATAGCTATGTTAACAAAAATTGTTCATAATAAATCACAAAAGGATAACCCATAAATATTTTCCTTCCAATTATTACGCATTTTTTGCTATAAACCATAAAATGAAAAAATCTCTAAATTGACGTATTTGGATAAACATTTTCGGTATAACTCGAAAATTATGAATGATAGAAAAAAATGTTGCGGATGAAAATTCTTTGTAATGAAGCAACAAAATGATTTCCACAAGGGATTATAACCTAATTGTGATAATTACCAACATAGCGGGTTTGAAATCATTAACATTACAAATTTGACGCATTTAAGAATAAAATGATGTTTAATTTAAAAATTAAAAATTTGGCATGATAGTTATATTAACAAAAATTGTTCATAATAAATCAAAGAAATATAATCCATAAACATTTTTCTTCCAATTATTACATATTATTTGCTATAAACCATAAAATGAAAAAATCCCTAAATTGACGTATTTGGATAAACATTTTCGGTATAACTCGAAACTATAAATTATAAAAGAAAATGTTGGGATGAAAATTATTTGTAATGAAGCAACAAAACGACATTCGCAAGCGATTATAACCCAATTATGATAATTACCAACATAGCGGGTTTAAAATCTTAAACATTACAAATTTGATGCATTTAAGGATGAAATGATGTTTAACTTAAAAATTAAAAACTGAAGATGAAAGTTATATTAACAAAAATTATTCATAATAAATTACAAAAACATAATCCATAAACATTTTTCTTCCAATTATTACATATTTTTTGCTATAAACCATAAAATGAAAAAATTTCTAAATTGACGTATTTGGATAAACATTTTCGGTATAATTCGAAACTATAAATGAAAAAAAATGTTGCTAATGAAAATTCTTTGTAATGAAGCAACAAAACGAATTCCACAAGCGATTATAACCCAATTATGATAGTTACCAACTTAGCAGATTGAAAATGTTAAACATTACAAATTTGACGCATTTAAGAATAAAATGATGTTTAACTTAAAAATTAAAAACTGGGTATGATAGTTATATTAACAAAAATTGTTCATAATAAATTACAAATACATAATCCATAAACATTTTTCTTCCAATTATTACATATTTTTTGCTATAAACCATAAAATGAAAAAATTTCTAAATTGACGTATTTGGATAAACATTTTCGGTATAATTCGAAACTATAAATGAAAAAAAATGTTGCTAATGAAAATTCGTTGTAATGAAGCAACAAAACGAATTCCACAAGCGATTATAACCCAATTATGATAGTTACCAACTTAGCAGATTGAAAATGTTAAACATTACAAATTTGACGCATTTAAGAATAAAATGATGTTCAACTTAAAAATTAAAAACTGGGTATGATAGTTATATTAACAAAAATTGTTCATAATAAATTACAAAAACATAATCCATAAACATTTTTCTTCCAATTATTACATATTTTTTGCTATAAACCATAAAATGAAAATCTCTTAATTGACGTATTTGGATAAACATTTTCGGTATAACTCGAAAACTATAAATGATAGATGAAAATGTTGCGGATAAAAATTAATTGTAATGAAGCAACAAAACGATATCCGCAAGCGATTATAACCCACTTATGATAATTACCAACATAGCGGCTTTAAAATCTTAAACATTACAAATTTGATGCATTTAAGGATGAAATGATGTTTAACTTAAAAATTAAAAACTGGAGATGAAAGTTATATTAACAAGAATTGTTCATAATAAATCACAAAAACATAATCCATAAACATTTTTCTTCCAATTATTACATATTTTTTGCTATAAACCATAAAATGAAAAAATCCCTAAATTGACGTATTTGGATAAACATTTTCGGTATAACTTGAAAACTATAAATGATAAAAGAAAATGTTGGGATGAAAATTATTTGTAATGAAGCAATAAAACGACATTCGCAAGCGATTATAACCCAATTATGATAATTACCAACATAGCGGGTTTAAAATCTTAAACATTACAAATTTGATGCATTTAAGGATGAAATGATGTTTAACTTAAAAATTAAAAACTGAAGATGAAAGTTATATTAACAAAAATTATTCATAATAAATTACAAAAACATAATCCATAAACATTTTTCTTCCAATTATTACATATTTTTTGCTATAAACCATAAAATGAAAAAATTTCTAAATTGACGTATTTGGATAAACATTTTCGGTATAATTCGAAACTATAAATGAAAAAAAATGTTGCTAATGAAAATTCTTTGTAATGAAGCAACAAAACGAATTCCACAAGCGATTATAACCCAATTATGATAGTTACCAACTTAGCAGATTGAAAATGTTAAACATTACAAATTTGACGCATTTAAGAATAAAATGATGTTTAACTTAAAAATTAAAAACTGGGTATGATAGTTATATTAACAAAAATTGTTCATAATAAATTACAAATACATAATCCATAAACATTTTTCTTCCAATTATTACATATTTTTTGCTATAAACCATAAAATGAAAAAATTTCTAAATTGACGTATTTGGATAAACATTTTCGGTATAATTCGAAACTATAAATGAAAAAAAATGTTGCTAATGAAAATTCGTTGTAATGAAGCAACAAAACGAATTCCACAAGCGATTATAACCCAATTATGATAGTTACCAACTTAGCAGATTGAAAATGTTAAACATTACAAATTTGACGCATTTAAGAATAAAATGATGTTCAACTTAAAAATTAGAAACTGGGTATGATAGTTATATTAACAAAAATTGTTCATAATAAATTACAAAAACATAATCCATAAACATTTTTCTTCCAATTATTACATATTTTTTGCTATAAACCATAAAATGAAAAAATCTCTAAATTGACGTATTTGGATAAACATTTTCGGTATAACTCGAAAACTATAAATAATAGAAAAAAATGTTGCGGATGAAAATTCTTTGTAATGAAGCAACAAAACAAATTCCACAAGCGATTATAACCTAATTATGATAATTACCAACATAGCGGGTTTAAAATCTTAAACATTACAAATTTGACGCATTTAAGGATAAAATGATGTTTAACATAAAAACTAAAAACTGGGGATGATACTTATATTAACAAAAATTGTTTATAATAAATCACAAAAATATAATCCATAAACATTTTTCTTCCAATTATTATACATTTTTGTCTATAAACCATAAAACAAAAATCTCTAAATTGACGTATTTGGGTAAACATTTTCGGTATAACTCGAAAACTATAAATGATAGAAGAAAATGTTG